TCACATTACTTTTGCACACAAGTGACAAAGTGTAATGAGATAGCTTATGAACGCGCGCCAGGATTTCCCATCTTGGTTGTCGTTTGCGGAGGTCAGAGCTCAGCAAACGACGAGTTCGAAAACAAAAACAAGGCGCGCTGGAAACTCATTTATGGTTCATACAGCAGACTCTCACTTTGGGTCATTATTTAGGCTACAAAAAACAGAACTGATCTTATTTACTGTGCCTAAATTCTGCCAGATTTTGACAAATTACAACCAGAGTTGATGTATTTTATATAGATTTTATGTACACAGGGTGATGTCTTAAAGCTGAAGGGAAATGAATTGGTTTTTCAATATTTCATGAATAACACTGAAAAATCTGGCATACAAACATATTACAGAGTCCTATTTGATGCCACTAAAAGAAGTATTCATACCAACTTTTTTTTTTCTTTTTAAGTTTTCATATTGTATTTTAATTTCAGACAGCATCATGGAAAAAGGTCATTCTTTGGTTCTAGCAAACAAAACTATAATGGAAACTTGACAACTTAACAGCTAACACGTATATTGGTAGGTTTTTTTTCCCAGCAGGGGGTTCGGGGCGGGCGGGATCTTGCGTGCGTGACATCACATGGCAACGCCTCTGCACTTCCCAAACCATTTCCCATCGTCTCTGACTGCGCCTTTAGATGGCGATGGATGCAGATGTTTCATCGCCCTATTTGCACCGCGCCATTTGTAATTAGAATCACAGTCGATTCCTGTGAGATACCCGGCCGTATAAAAAGCTGTCACTATTTGTGTATCTGTTGCCATCACTGTCCACATGCTGTGGGTGCAACGCTATCCGCAAGGTCTCCAAAGCTGTTAATCAACTCCTCTCTAATGTGTTGTTCACACCTCCCTCCACTCCCCTCCCCTCCCTTCGCCCAAGCTGGTGGATTTCTATCTTAGACAGGGCGCTTGGCCGGGCGATCACTGTCGCTAATTTGTTGTGGCAATATTAATTAATGATCAGCCTGTCACAGCTGTTTATATTGAGACAGATTAGAGGAGGGAGAGATTAAACAAAGAAAACAATCTGCGAGAGGCTCAGCCGCTGACAGGGGTCACCTTCACGTGTCTGGAATCATATTCAATTTGCCGTGGCGGAGGCAGGGAAATTACTCCACTTGACCGCTCCATATCCCCTCTCAATCGCTTCGCATTTCAAGATAAGCAAATCGCGCCATTTTAAACATAAAGAAACCGACGAACATAAGGCTGCATTTGATCTTTAGTGATGTAGGAATTAGCAGAAAGAGACGCTTATTGTCTAATCTGCGGTCTTTCCTTACTGGTACCGTTTCGGCTCTGCCAGCAACCACGTCTCCTACGTCCAAGGTGGCAGAACTGGGCGTCCCAGCCACTGACGTCCCTATTTTTCTACCAAGTGAACCTACTGACTTCTCTGGCCTCCAACAGTCGCAGTGCCGGCCAAACACTTCGTTGACTTGGCAACACCGTGGCGCGTTGTGACGGTGAGTGGAGATTAAGTGGCTAATCAAGGCCCGAAGAGTGGGGTAATCATTCCACTTGTTAAAACGGGTGTCAGGATTATTCCAGTGCTTTCTCACTTCATTGCAGGCTTTAATAAAGCAAAGGCATTTACTGCTAACTGGATTGCTGAGGCTTGGACTGAAGGACTGCTCACTAATGACTGATTAATAATAAAGTCAAGCAGGTCTAGAAGCTGACATTCCCTTGATGCTGAGCTTAGGATATGTACAGTAGAGAAAGGGGTCCCAGATTAGAGTAATAGTACTTTTTTTTAACTTCCATACCTCAGATACCACTGCTGATTTGTGACTAAGTTCATTTTCAGTTTGAGAGTGACTGGATTGACATCCGAATGAGGTTTCATCAGCAGAACTGATCCCGTTTTAATTTCCCCAGATCATAAAAAGGGTTAAACGAAAAACCAGAAAATCAAAAGCCTTCGCTTGTAGATAAATATGTCCTTAATGCCAAGCAAACTGCAGTCCAACGCTTCGCTTCTGCTCCGCTTGTTAAAGCTAATTCCCAGAGACATGAGAGTAGGAGGACGAAACTATAGCTTGAAATTACTGCAGCAGTCTTTTGCTAGTGTGCTTGTATGCTTGTCTCGTCAATCCCTCTTGCTTCTCTCTTTGGTATGGATGTGATACCAGGAGGAAGTGAGGAGAATAAAACTGCAGTTGTGCTGCATCTAAATATTTCACTGTTAGAAGGGAGATACTAGTTGCAATAATTCAAGTTGAACTGCATCCATGTTGGATTTCTGGAAACCCCCTTTTAGTATGGACAAATCTCTAGAATAGTGTTCTCTAAGAAGAAATGCCGCCCTCGTTACTGTTATTAAATGGCCCCAATATTTCCCTTCGAACCAATACTACATGTGATTTTGTCAGAGAAAGTTGGCAAAGTAATGAGGATGAGCGTGTTAAGTTTGACTTCCTGTCATATGTAGGTTCCTGAAGTGAGGAGGAAAGAGTTCTTGTCAGGCTAATTGAAAACATAAGCACTAAATAAGCATCCGCCATTTTTAAACGGGCACTATTATGTGTATTCTAGGCAAATACTGGCGTTTTATAGCACAATCAAGTAATGGACTTTACAGTTAAAAAATGTTCTATATGTCAAATATGACTAAAGACAAATTTTACTTTGTAATTCAAAGCCTTAAAATTGGGCCTCTTTCTCTCTAAAGACTCTCGCTCTTTCTGAAACTCCACCCTCAGTAAGTCATCTCAATATGGCTCCTCTTTTAACATTTAAACTACGTTTTTACCAGCGTTGCACAGAGAAGTAGAGCTTATATAATGAACTCAGCAGATGCGGATTTCCAGCAGGTGTTTACTAATTGCTGCTGGCTAGTCTGAAGGAGCCGAGTAGAGGAGGTGAGGACTGCTCTGTGTGGCGGTGGTTGCAGCTCCGAGGAGGGGCTTAGTCCTTGAAGGTGGCGCTAGATCACAACCAGGCTATTTGGATACCTGAATGGTTGCAGCGGGAGATGAAAGAATTTCCCAAATGTGTGAAAGCATCATAGCGATGCCTCAGTAAAGGTCACAAAAGTTGATTTCACATAATACTGCCTCTTTAATGTTACACAAAACTCTCAGCAGAATGTTCGACAAAATGTCAACAACTTTACCCATCAGGTTGGAGCCTGTGGCTTTCACATTGTTTTTCACTTTTTCACATGTGCAGCTCATGGCGTATGACTGGCACCAAGCGTTTCTCCCATAGACTTCTGACATCTTAATTGTTGTAGCTTTCAAGGCAGAACCCTTTGCCTTGAGAAGTCCTGCCAGCGTTCGCCGTGTTGAACATTTTTTCACCAGCACGGCTTCGTTGTGCAACAGGTAGCGCTGCAGGGAATTCGGAGGAGAGAGAACAGTCTGAGCTGGCACACAGAAGCTGGCATGACACCACACCGTTTGAACTACCCCCAGGCTACATCTGGCAGCCGCCCCCGAATTTCGCATCGCATCTGCAGGGTAGTCAGCTGCTATCCGTGCGATCGGTGCCTGGCGTCGGGACTGACTCACAAGCGAGTGTGCTGTGTTAACTGGGCGGCTTTGACTTGACATTGCACAACACCCCCTACCACCACCCCCACGCCTTGTTCGTCCACACCCGCATAAATATTATATGGATTATGTATGTCATTTACCCCCAACCCACAAAAAAAAAAAAGTGTTTTCTGGAGGCTGGCAGACGGCACGCTTGACTTTCAAGAAATTCCACAAGCGACTGCTCTCTGGAACTAAACTGGTGCAGCAAATCCTTTTAAAATCCTTTTAGACACCGTGGCAGTCAGGGGGAAAAAGAAGAAGTTTCTCCCAGGCAAACATGTGCAGGTCTGTTGGGTTGATGTTTTGCTCTGGGGAAGGACACCCTCGCCAGTTTATTCCTGCGAGGCTCAAAGAGAACGCTAATTCAACACGCACTCGGCAGGGAGCACGGGATGTTTGGGGGGGGGTGCGCAGAAAAGCAAAGGCTTCGAGGGAAGACGCAAGGGTGAGGACACTTTGGATGTGAACAGCTTCATTTTCCAATTCGAGACCCTCGAGACGCAGGTGGCTTACACTTCCTTGCATAAAATAAGAGAGAAAGGAGAATTTAAAAAGTGTTGCTATCGGTTGTCAGCATGCCCACGAACTGGACTGCGTTGATAATTTCCCCTCCGTGCAAACACATGAAAACGAATTAAATCTGTCGAATTAAACACCTCAAGAGGTTTTGTTTTCCAGCTACAAGAAGCTACGACAAAGAGCAAGAAAATCCAAGAACCATCTCTTGTGTGTCTTCAATTTTTCCAAGTTTTCTCCCCCCACACACACACAAAAATCCTCTAGTTTCCTCGCTCTGATTGCTACTTAAATATTTGGCTAAATGAGCAGGGGTTTGGTCTCAGTGGTTTGTTTGTCGACTTGCTCTTTGCTTTTCGATTTCCTTTGGGCTACGGAATTGAATTAATGTCTGCAGACACTATGATGCCACACGCGAGAAAACAGGAGATTTTGCAAAATTACAAAACCTTACCAATTACAGCTCGGCAAACACAGACGGCAGTGAAAAAAAAATACATAAAAATTAAAAACCTTATTTGGGTTGTTATGGAGATTCCTTGTGTGTCAGAGGCACTGGGATAATAATTAGCTCCATTTACATGCTATTCTGTTAAAACAGACTGACAAATACATGTTGTTTACTCAATATCCGATCCTACACAATGAAAAGAGGACAAATTTGTAACCAGGCAAATCCCTGCCTGCTCACTCGTATCTCTATCTGTGCTGCAGCGATTTCCTCCTTCAGTCCGCTATCTTTAACTCCAATCTCATTTCTAGCTTAATTACTCTTTGGAAGGTGTTTGGGAGTTTGCCGCATGCCTGCTGTTTTGGTCATTACGGGTCGCCGTAGGACACAGAGTGGCTTGCCAAGGAAGCTTAGCGGAATCTGGGCATTTGGGATGTGACTTCACTCACCTGGGGTAAATGAGAGCAACTCTTCCTGCTGGCTTTGAGGCCCGTCCTCCCTTCGGGGGCTGTCCTGATGTCGAAGAGGCCCTGAAGAGCGCACTGGGCCGCGTGGGTCTTGGCGAGTTTCTTGCTGCGACCGCAGCCCTCGAATATCCGCCCGTCCACGCGCACCGCCATCACGAAGCTCCGCGGCCGCCTCCCCTCGGCTCGCTCCGACAGACAGGCGTAGCGCAGGCCCGGCCGGAGCTCGTTGAGCAGCGCCACGGGACTCTTCGGCGCCTCGGGCTCCGGGACGATCCCGCCGAGCCTCTGCTGGGCCTGCACCATGAGGTCCAACGTGTGGCGGAGCAGCCGTCCGTGCCGCAGCAGCTCGCTCGACAGCAGCTCGCTCTCGCTCGACGGGTCGCAGAGCGCGAGGCCGTCGGAGCACGGCGACGCCTCGAACTCCTTGAAGAGCGTGTCGGGGAAGTCGGCCTGGTCGGACGTGAAGTCCGCCGAGGGGTTGGCGATGTTTCCCATGGCCAGGTGGGCCTGGGGCGCGTTGGGGAACTGGACGAAGGATTTGAGAGCCAGTTCGGCGGCCCTCATCTTTGCTTTCTTCTTCGTGGGTCCGGTGCCCTCAAAGGTGAGCCCGTTGACCTCCACGGCGATGCAGAAGACGGGAGCGTGGACGGGGCCGGTCTGGGATACCAGGCGGTACTGCAGCCCCGGCCGAAGCTCGTTCAGCTGCACTAAGGCGTTCTTTGGCGCCTCAGACCAGGAGAGCTTCTTATAGATGAGTCGGAGCTGACACAGGCGCCCGTTGTTGTCTTCCTCCAGGGGCCGTTTCCTCTTCAGGCCAGAGCCGGCCCCTCGCGACTGGCATTCTCCGGAGAGGTCCTCCAAGTTCCCTACGTTGCGGTTTTCCTTCACCTCCGCGCTGCTCGTGCCTGCAGTGCCAACCGGAAGAGGAACAAACAAACCAGAAACTGTTTTAAAGGAAGAGATGGAAAATACTAAAGAAAGCAAAAAAAAAAAAAAAAAAAAATGGAAAGAAAGTGATCATTACTGTGCAACGCTCATATTTATGCTGGCTGAACAAAAATGAATCAAGGAAAATCTCTCAAGGCAGATTGAGCCACTTGATACACAATGAAATGGTAATGAACACATCTACAATCAACACCCGCAGCCGAGCCCACTTCATACCACAGGGCTCTATTATATTTAAGTATTTTAAAACCCAAATACAAATCCCTCTGAAATGGCGATGTTATCTGCCAAATCATCCTGTAATCTGCCTCCAAATTGGTTTGGAATCTGAGTCGGGGAAGAAGGAAATATTGGTCCCTGCGGCCCTCGCAGAGCATCAATCCTATTTGTAATGGGGAGTGGGGAGGTAGAGGCGGGGGTGTGTGTGAGTGCCAAGAGTTTCCAAGAAAAAAAAAGGGGGTTTGGAGCCTGCTTCATTTCACACTTCTATCCTCTGCGAGAGCAAAAGCCTGAAACAGCTGCGACACGCTCTTCAACCGTCGTTACGGAGAAGTGGTGGCATGTATTGGCTTTCTGATGGCAAACGAACAAAAACAGGGCGTTCAGAGGAATTTCAGCGGTGGGATGGGAGTCACTTACTAGTGGGGCAGATCGTAGCTCGAGACGAGCGCGCAGGCAGGCGAGGCGTCTCATTTGATGACTTATTCATCGGGAACACTCCGATTTAACATTTATTAGCTCACTTTTAAAAGACCCATTTGTAATCAAAGAGCTCATTTCTCCTGCCTGCCTCCCAAAAATAGTCAATTATGCAGGTGACAGAGATTTCAGTTCCGCACTCGGTCTGCCAATGAGAGATGGAGAAGGTGCGCGGCGGCTTACTCAAACTGTCCTCGTCCTCCGTGCTGCTGGTCCCAGGGCTTATGTACTTGAAGGGAGCGATCAATGCCGACAGCATACTGACTTTCTCTGGAGGAGAGACAAGAGACACGCAGAGTCAACACGAGGGCAGAGGTAGAGCTGTTTTGATGTTTTTATCGATTAAAGCCTGGGATCATTGTCGGCCCCCCTCCTCCCGTCGACAGCGAGGCAGAGATGACGCGTTGCATGAGAGGAGGAGGAGTGCGCCCCGTTGAACCTACTCTGAAATCAGAGTTTAATTTCCTCCAAAGATTCTTTTTTCTAACCTTTTGTAAGGCTCGTTGTGAAAAAGACAGGCATGCTTGGTCTTGAAATTTGATCATTGTGCATTATAAACAGACACTGACATACAAAGTGCAGTACAGATATTATTCACAATATAAAATTGAGCCCCTTTTCAAAGTAGCCGATTGAATCTGGCAAAGTACGTTTATTCTGATACCAAGATTAGCTGATATGAAAGTGAATTCTATTAGATTGGCAAGATTTCAGACTCTTATTTGGATGGAATAACAGGAAGTGGTTCCTGGGTTGTCCTGTGCTGTTTAACCAATAAGCGAGGAAGCCAACAGGAAAACTAAAAATGAACTCCACCTCCTTCCAGTTCTGCTAAAAATGATGTAAAAGCTTGCTGCTCCTGGTCAAAAAGATCCAATCAGAGCCAAGAGGAGGGTCTTAGTGCTGTCAATCAATAAATATTCGCTACTCTGCTGATTGTGCTAACTTACAGATACAGGAAAACCTTAAATCTGTTGTTATTGGCAGGTATGCTAACTAGACTTAGCATTTGTACCAGAGTATGCTGTAGTGAAGCAGCTGTAGCTTAGCAAAGAGCAAATGGGAGGGGCTGAGAAGGAGAGTGACTGACAGTGCCAAGACCCACCTCCTGCCTCTGATTGGTTGTTTCTGGCTGAGTGGCGTGTTTCTGTGAAGAGTTCAATTTTTTCACAACAGATCTGTCTTATATTATGTCAACATAATGATAATTTTAACAAACAAAACAAACGTAAAAGACATGTAGAATAAAAGGTGCACTCTGCATTTTTATAGGTCTTCAAAAAGTAGCTGCAGCTTTAACTGATTCAGATATTTTTGCAACACGGTTGAAGTTTTACCCACCAGCTCTGAATTTTTCTGCAAATCGATTCAACATTTTGTGGAAGTAACACAGACCTAAACTCGCGCGGTTCACATTGTGCCCGAACAAAAAAGAAAAGAGGAAAGAAAAAAAGGAGCTGAACTTTTTCTCCTCGGAGTCGGCTTGTCAACAGCCCCTCTTGTCTTGTTTCCCCCTCGAGGCCCAGCGCTGTCCAGGTGTGCGTGTTGTTTACAGTGTGAAGCCCTATTAGGACCATCGCTTGGTCTGGTGCTCTCCACGCAGCGCTGAGTAAAATTGACAGACCAGTCTGGCTCCTTAATTAAACCTCCTCTCTCCTCCCAATGCCAGCTGATGATCAATAAAAGAGAAAGGCGAGGAGGAAGATGGGGTGGATGGGTGAGGGGATTGAGATGGACTTGTACAGCAAGGTGATGAAGTAGGAAGTTGAAAAAGGGCCAGAATGAGTTTACAGAGTTGGAGCCAGGTGTCATTATACTCTCGAAGCTTTCAGCACACCCCCCTGGTGAGGGCGAGAGTTCAAAAAAGCTAAACGCTGCGTAAATTGGGGGGCCTCATATTACGGGGGCAGTAAACTCGTTCTGATAAGAGCGTGAGGTTGTGAATGAGGCCTCCTCTATTAGCAGAGCAGCAGCACTAGAGGGACTCAATGAGTCACTGTGACACACATGGTTACACTCCAAACACTGGCGAGTCCTTGTGGGCCAACATCACAATACGAGCACTTGCATTCTGACCTAATTATGGACTACAGCTCAACACAAGCAGCAATTTGGTCCTTAATGACTCCCTTGGCATCACAGAGGCCATTTCCAAACCAATCTGTATTGTTTCTAAAACCTTTAAAGGCTCATTTTTAGAAAAAAAGAGGATGAAATGTGACATACTGCTCTGTCAAATTTGAGGATTTCTACAGGTTTGATTGTAGCCTACACAAAGTCTATACATGTGCGTTTTAACAGCAAAGACAGTAGTTCACATGAACCATGAAATTAGAGCGCACTCTGAGGCAATTAACACAGAGGATGGCTGAGCTTTCCCAGTGTAGCCCGAAAACACAGAAATCAGCTGTAGATTTGGTAATCCCACGCCGCAGAGCGGTCCAAGCGTACCGTTTAACGGCTTCTGCCAAGCTAAAGCGCTTAGCTGGCAATCAGACACAACAGCTTCGCACAAGTGGAGCTACATTATATAGTTAGGTTATTACTGCGAGAGGCCACTGCCGTACATTTCAGTAATTGAGGGGATAAGCCAAATCATTGTCTTAATCTGTTTTACAGGCGAACATGTGAAACACAAATGTCAGCCGAGGCAGAAAATGCAGTCAGATGTGATTGTCTATTAGCAATTTATTTTGTGTGTTCAAATCGATAACATATTTCTTGATGTCTGAGATATAAAGTGCAAGTACATGCAGTGATTTCTATTTCACCCACATTTTATATCCTAAAATGTATTAAATTAATCTATTTCCTCAAAATGCACAAAAATGCTCCATTATTACAACGTGGAAAACAGTTTTTGGAAGATGCATTAAAAATAGTAAACCGTATGCAAAGCTTGTGTTGGTTCTCCATGTTTGATTCTATAAATGGTGATCGAAGGTAATGTTCTGTGTTGCTAAGCAGAATAAGAATAGACAGGGACATGAGAAAAGTGTTCAATTATTGAGCTCATTTTAATTTATCACGCGTTGAATTGATTGATTGTTTATTTTGACAGGCCTACTAACGTGTTTTGTTCTGAGCAGTTCAGCTACGCACAGGATATGTGGTTTTGGATACTTTAGAGGAAATATACGACCTCGCTGGTTTTTCACTATGTGGCATGTACTGAGATGCCAACAGGTCCTCATAGCTCGGCGTGGCGTGCCAGTACAGAGTGGAGAACAGATCGCTGGTGGGTAGCGCCCTGTGCAGAAGTTTAATGACAAATCATTCAAAGCTTCATGAAATTTTGAACCGTATCAACGGCGAACAGCCAGCGGCACTGACTGATGAACCATCGTGACGCAGAAAAAGGAACACAATGTAATAAAGAGGAATGAGATTCAATGCACATCCTCATTGCTTGATGATATGCTGGACACATCACTGAGCTGTATGAAAGCTTTAACAGACCCTTTTAATACTCCATTCAAAGGACTTTCATTTGAACCAGACTCGCATTCACCGTCGGAACAGAGGTTTTGTCTCCTCTCCTCAGGACCGAGTCATTTCCTGCAACCCTATGAGACGCTCCCCCTTTCTCCGCTTTCAATGGAGCACAGCTCGCGTCAAACGTCTCAGGAAGTAGCTATTGAGTGCGAAATGTCGTGATGTTTTCAAGAGCTTTGATGTTGCGTGGACGTAAATGGGGGAGAAAATAAGAGGTCACGGTGGAAATGCTGCCAGGGCGTTTGTGGAGGCTCGTGAGGCGGGCTGACTGCGTACGCTCCCGTCTCAAAGACGTCCATGTTGCATCCCAGGTAGGTTTTTGAAGGAAAAGTGGGCTTTTCCACAGGCATGTAGGATATTTGTAGCATCTTAGTTAGAGCATGATGTGTCAGTAAAGAGATGCCAATGGTAAAACGCCTGGTAAGTTTATCATTATATTGGACTTACTAAGGCTATCAATATTAGCTTAACTGCACCAGGAGTTTCATGTTGGGTTGAAGCGTTCCTTGGAGTTCACGTTTCCCTGAAAAGTCCTTGTACACGTCAATGTTTTTGTCACTAATTATACCCTAATCGGATGACATTCCCAATATATGTTAGCAACAACCCAAGCAAACCACATAAGAAAAGAATTCAACATAAATCTCTGAATGTACTGTTGAAAAGGTAAAGAAAGCAAGGACCAAACAGGCACAGAAAGCCAAGAAAATAACTGAGAGCAGTCCTTCATCCTATGACGTTCCAAATTAAAATCGGTGGGTTCAGAGTCCCAACTGATGGCATGTAAAAGCTTTATCCTTTCTAAATACGTCTTGAGCAAAAGCAGAGAGTGTCTAATAGAAAAAATGACTGTTGGAAGTATTGTCACTTCTTGAGATGCGGTCAAGTTAAGGTGAAATCCTCTCCATGTAAGCATGACTTCAAAGTTAAGTAGGCAAAAAAAAAAAAGAACTCCAGCCTGCGATGAAGTTCATCAAACATCCCACCAATCACCTCTGCTTCTGTCCCCCCTCCTCCCTTCACCGTTACTCTGCATGTCCTTCACGGTATGAATCAGCCATTCCTTCTCGTTGAGCAGCAGGCCTGAATGATGGGAGTCAATTCACGCCGATAGCCTCGGCTCACCACCGCCGTCCTCCCCGCCACTGCCGCCGTGCCGAGGCACAGTGAGGAGGAGACGGTCCTCATTTGTTTCCGCGGCACAGACGGAGGACAAGGCGGGCCGAGATACGGGAGAACCTCGGCAGATGGCCATGAACTCCTGATAGCGACAAGAGCGGCCGTGGCGTCCATTCACAATGAGCCGCAGAGTGCAGGCTCCTTCTCTCCTTGCACCTCCTACGCCGGCTCTGAGCAGAGGGTAATGAGCCCAATCAGATTTCCCCATGGCTCAGCATAACGAATGGGTCAGATGAGCGACGGGAGACACTATTGAAACAGGCGCCGGGGGAAATCACAGACTCACTCGCTCTGTCTCCGTTTAACACCTGCCCATCTCACTTTCCACTCAGTATCTTTCTGAGACTGAAAGCTACTGAGCCAGTAAATGAGAGACTGCATTTTGTTTCCCCCCACATCAGACTTAAAACCTGATTCCTGCCAATTCTCTCATGTGATAAAAATATACTCCACATAATAATACGTATTGGGCTAAGGGTCCTTGCAAACCTTTGTTTGAATACAATGACAATCTAAGCTGGAGTTTGAAAGCCTGCACATGCAACAATCACGTCCTGTTAGTTACCTACTGGGCTCTTCAACTACACAAGGTACCA